CCCATCCTATTCCTATCCTTATTCCATTTCTATTCCTATTCCATTCTTCTTTGAACAGTCGCTAAACAAATGTTAAAGTCAACAGCACTAAAAACCAGGAAAACCCCATAATTCCCTGCCGCTGCAGAACGACACTACCAATGAGGACATAAGTAAAACTCCCCCATACCTGGCATAGCCAATGATGAGACTGCCGAACACTGTTCCAATGCCAGCACCAGAGCCAGCTACACCCACGGTGGCAGCACCAGCACCAATAAACTTGGCGGCAGTATCAATGTCCCTGGACACCGCACTCGTTTGGAACTGCTGATGCAGCAGCGGCAAGACTTCATGCTGAGCGCCCGAAAGAAAGCAGGGCTAGGAGTAAGTAAGAAATAGGGGTGGGCGTGGGTGGGGAGAAAAAGGCAAAGGTCTGAAACAGGAGGTGACCAAAGGTAACTATGTAGTAATCAGCATGACCTGGCAGCCATTAACCAATCTTGGCTGTTGATGTTTGTTATCATTTCAGTCAGATTATACTGTGTTTCCAAATATAGCAGAGTTAAAACCAGCTCATAGCGTGGCTTGACAGTGGCTATGAATTTTGGCAGGGGGCAATTACCTCAATTTGGGCCATTCTAATTACAAAGATAGGCAAAGGTAGGCAATCTGTTTCATTGGTTCCGGGTGCTTGTTTGTACTGTACAAGCCACAGGGAGAGTATCAGATTACCCGATCCTGGGATAGAGAATCACACGACAAGACCCAGATTCAAATGACTGACTGTGACTGTGAAGCACACTGCATTTAACTGCTGATCCGCATCTAGGAACCAACCTAGAATTGAATGTGCTCTTTACAAGGATAGGATTAAAGCAATACACGAATGAGGAACTGATGGAGATCATTTCTCAAAGCTTATTAACAGTTCCAAGGTTTGAACTAAATGAACCGGCCTTAGCTTCTCCCTGTGGCGAAGAGGAATAGCTGGAAGAATTGCAAATAAAGGTCCAAAGGTAGAAGATTCAAACCTTAACAAATTCAATAATAATCTGTAGACCCAATTAATATTACAGAGAGACGGTCTTGTAGCATCCCAAGGCCCTCTAGTGACTTCTTGCAGTTTTGTTTTGTTTTTTTACAAGATATCTATTTGGAAATGAATACTGTTTTATTGCTGCTGCTTGTATAATCTAAAAAAAAAATATCTAGCAGAGCCAATTCAATGGAAGAGGAGGTAGAAGAATCCTACCTCAAGAAACTCAGAGATGAATGAATAGAGGAAAATTTATAAGTTACATCAATAACCTAAAGCAATCAGTCCAGAGAGTGGGCAGAGGCCGGGTTCAGGGCAATCAAACTTTGAAGTACCAATCAGGAGCAGCAAAATTCCCCTCAGGTAAGCTATATAAAAGAAGACAAAGGAATGTCATTTTGCCTTTCATCATAGAAGGAGACAGGGTCTTTTTCCAGGCTTGCTTCAACCTGTTAAGAAAACCCTCCAACCTGGAGAACGACTAGAGAATCAGAATAAAATAGCCATAGCAAATAGACACGGATTAATGTGTTTTTGTTATTTCATGGATCAATCTGAGCTATGTTTTTGTATCCTGGGCCCAATTTTGTTCCACCTGTATTGTAGGGATGTGTATTTATGCCTGTAAGAAAAACCCACAAATTAAAGCCTGCAAGAACTGTACTTTTCTCTTTTTCTCCCATTATCTTTCAGCCACATTTATTCCCATATCTTAATCTGTATTATAAAAGCCTTGTTATGTTCTTCTAGAACAAGCGCCTTCAAACTTGGCAAGTTTAAGACTTGTGGACTTCAACTCCCAGAATTCCTGAGCTAACATGACTGGAGGAGGAATTCTGGGAGTTGAAGTCCACAAGCCTGAAAGCTGTCAAGTTTGAAGACCGCTGTTCTAGAATCAGTATTTCCACTTTGATACAGATTGCTCTAATATAGCTATTCATTGATAGTAGTGATGTACAGTGCTGAATGTTCTCAGAGCAGAATGTTCTGGAGAATTCTGGAATATTCTCACTGATACCAATCTGACTATTCTAGGGGTGATCTGAAAGCTTTCGGTATTGGTTGGAATAACTACATTGGCCTGCTTGAATTGAACAATTGCTTTTGCACATCCCTGGTTAAAGCTATAGCAAGTTTTTGCCTGCCGAAACTTGGTAGGACAAAGAAGCAAAATGCTGAGAAGATTCAAAATCTATCTCTCTTGGATATCCAAACTTACCTTTTCCGTCCTGATCTGAGGTCTGTTCAGCACAGAAGCAGAGAGAGGTCTGCATAAAACCGTGGAACTGTTCCTCACCTGAAGAAAGAAAGAAAAAAACACATTACAGAAGAGAAACAAAACTTCCACTGGTTAAAAAAAAAACTTCCTCACCAAGTATATTCTAATTTTAAAGGCAAAATCCTAACACTTAAAAGGAACAACTGTGGGATCAAACATGGTGATTTAACATGTGGTGTAAACCCAGGCATTTTGATTTGTAAACCATAGTTTATGGCTCTGTATCCTATTTGAGCAATTAATGGAAAAGAAAACAAAGCACAGGGTAGTTCCACTTGGGAAGAACAAACCTCTTCTCACTGTCAATTGATATTGAACTTTCTCAATATTATCTTAATTTAACCTGGGAGAAGGCACTCCAAATTAGAAATGGCATATATTTGAAGAATCCTTGAATAAAATTATTATTAATGAAAAAGCAATAATTATTTCAGACAAATAAGATTCTCAAGCTGAATTCTTCATTTAGACATAGACTACTTAAAACATTATTAAGAATACCCAAGAGGTACATTTTAGTTTACTCACCAGGATGGAGGCAGAAATCAACTTTGCACAAGTATACATATTCAGAGTTGTGGGGAACAGCCACATTCAACAACTGGGAAATAAAGTGAATGCCAAGATATTAGGACAAACTATTCATGCCTTTCATTATTTTTCATAAGTAGGAACCTAAGGGTAGTCCTCACTTAGCAAACACTCCTGAGACCCGCAACTTCATCATTAAGTGTTGTTGCTAAACAGAACATCGCGTTACTGTGATGGGCTTATGAACTCACCTTCCCTTCAGTCATTAAGGAAAACATTCTGTGACCACAACTTATTATTTTATTTCCACCTTTATTTCTAGCAAGACTACCAGATTCTGTAACAGCTTTGTTCCTCCCTATGCCATCCGTCTGGTAAACTCGCCAGATTTTTCTTGCCATGTACATGTATACGTCCGGACTAGACTGTGTTGTTTCTGTGTGTCATATATGTGGGCATATGCATAATTTTGTATATTTATTCTTTCATGGTTATGTAGTGTATATTGGAGATGGAGGCCCCTTTGAGAGCTGTGTGCAACAAAATTTCATTTTAATGTATGCCAATTCAAAGTGACAATAGTCGTTCTATTCTATTCTATTCTATTCTATTCTATTCTATTCTATTCTATTCTATTCTAAACTCTGCGTGTCACAAAGGAGTTGCAAAGCATACAAATGGTGATAATGTGACTGTGGCACACTATGACAGCTGTAAATGCGTGAATGGGATGGTGATCACATGACCAGAGGATGCTACAATAGGAACACAAGATTGGTTGCAAAGCTATATTTTTAATATGGTCATAACTTTGAATTGTTGTTAAACAAAGCAGTTGACTACCTGTACTATATTTAGAAGATCCATCAGGAATTATTTATGCAGGACATCAATAATAAATGAAAAAATGGTACAATGGAAAAAGATAGAAAAATATGTTCTCTGCCAGATAAAGGGAACTGTTTAACACAATTTGGGCTTCCCAAATTTTAAGATCTGATCTTAAAATGGTCAAACATTCCAGTATATTTTTTCTTCAGATAGAGCTTAATTAAAGTTTCTTTTGGTATATTTAAATTAGATTTTGATTTTCACATTATACCAAATTCTCAAGGATTTGGGAACATGAATTTTAGGACCAATGTGATGTGATTCCTTACAAATTCCTAAAATTACACTGCTAGAATAATTTTGTAATAGATTCGTAACTGGCTGAACAACCATACTCTACGTATAGTCCCCAATGGAACTGCATTGACATGGAGGGAGGTATGCAGTGGGGTAACCCAGGGCTCTGTTTTAGGCCCAGTACTCTTCAACATTGTCATCAATGGTTTGGACAAGGGGATAGACGGGGAACTCATAAAATTTGCAGACGACACCAAGCTAGCAGGAATTGCCAACACTCCAGAAGATAGGCTTAAGATACAGAAGGATCTTGACAGACTTGAACATTGGGCGCTATCTAACAAAATGAAATTCAGTGGTGAAAAAAGTAAGGTTCTACACTTAGGCAAGAAAAAACAATGCACAGGTACAGAATATGTGGTACCTTGATCAACAGTAGTAACTGTGAGAGGGATCTCGGAGTGCTAGCGGACAACCATTTAAATATGAGCCAACAGTGTACAGCAGCTGCCAAAAAAGCCAACACAGTTCTAGGCTGCATAAACAGAGGGATAGAATCAAGATCACGTGAAGTGTTAATACCACTTTATAATGCCTTGGTAAGGCCACATTTGGAATATTGCATCTAGTTTTGATCGCCACAATGTAAAAATGATGTTGAGACTCTAGAAAGAGTGCAGAGAAGAGCAACAAAGATGATTAGGAGATTGGAGGCTAAAACATATGAAGAACGGTTGCTGGAACTGGGTATGTCTAGTCTAATGAAAAGAAGGACTACGGGAGACATGATAGCAGTGTTCCAATATCTCTGGGGCTGCCACCAAGAAAAGGGAGTCAAAGCACCTGAAGGCAGGATGAGAAGCAATGGGTGGAAACTAATCAAGGAGAGAAGCAACTTAGAACTAAGGAGAAATTTCCTGACAGAAGAATTGATCAGTGGAACAACTTGCCTCCAGAAGTTATAAATGCTCCAACACTGGAAATTTTAAAGAAGAAATTAGATAACCATTTGTCTGAAGTGGTGTAGAGTTTCCTGCCTAAACAGGGGGTTGGACT